GCACAGGGACCTACATTGGATCGGATAAGTTGACTTATAAGGGGCGATGGCGGTTAAATCTCAAACATGGTTTGGGATATCAAGTCTATCCTAATGGAGATGCCTTTGAAGGCTCTTGGATGCAGGGGTTGCCAGAAGGGCCTGGCAAGTATACATGGGTAAATGGAAATGTTTATCTTGGAAATATGAAGGGAGGGAAAATGTCAGGGAAAGGAACTCTCACATGGACCAATGGGGATTCATTTGAGGGAAGCTGGTTGAATGGCATGATGCATGGATTTGGAGTATACACGTGGAGTGATGGAGGCTTCTATGTTGGAACTTGGACCCGCGGTTTAAAGGATGGGAAAGGGTCATTTTATCCAAAAGGCAGCAGACTTCCAGCAGTAGAAGAACTTTACCTGAATGCTTTGAGGAAACGAGGGCTCTTGCCAGATTTAAGAAAACAGAACAATGCACATATCCATCATGCTGGTTCAGGGGATATGGGAAATGTGAAGATTGGAGAGAGCCTGCAGGGATCTCATCGTGCTTCAGCCGACAAAATCTCTAATAGAAATCTGTTAAATTTGGAGCAGTCACATAGAAATGTTTCCTTGGAAAGGCGTTGGAGTCTTGAGGTATCTTTTGAAAAAGTTATTGGACATGATCCATCATTATTGGAGGGTAGAGAAAAAGATTCTGGGACAGAAATTCCAATCTTAGAGCGAGAATATATGCAAGGTGTCTTAATCAGTGAGCTAGTAATAAATAACAGCTTTTCTTCATCATCTAGAAGGGCAAAACGGCGACAAAAGAAACTAGCGAAAGTGGTCAAGAGACCTGGTGAAGCAATCATTAAAGGTCATAGGAGCTATGATCTAATGCTCAGTTTGCAGTTGGGTATCAGGTACATTCACTTTTATTACTTCCCTTAAATTTGTTAGACTTCTTCATCTTTGACTTTTATGCTTGTATTATTTTGTCTTCATTTATCTTTTGTATCAAATGCATGGTTTTTAATTAGATTATATTGCTTAATTGGTTCCTCCCTTCTGGTATCGGCAAAGATTTATTAAGCAATGCAATTTGTGTTTACATTTCCCCTTTTGGATTCGGGACAATGTATAACTCCATGAGAGGGTTTAATTATTTTAACAGGTTTTTCTTTTAACAGGGTTTAATTAGTTATATTAGTTTTACGACTCCGTGAAAGGTTTAATTATTTTAACAGGTTTCTCTTTTAGGAGTGACAAAGGTTTGCAGTCCAACCGCAATTGCTGATGTTCCTCACTTAGCTCATGTGCATTGCATACTTTGTTTCCTGAAACTTAATTTAAATGTGGATTAAAATGTGGCAGGTATACTGTTGGGAAGATAACACCAATACAAAGGAGAGAAGTCCGAGCATCAGATTTTGGCCCTCGGGCAAGTTTTTGGATGAACTTTCCTAAAGAAGGCTCCCAATTGACACCACCTCATCGGTCAGTAGATTTTAGGTGGAAAGACTATTGCCCTATGGTCTTTAGGTTAGTTGCCATATCTTGAATTTTCTTGCCTATTTGTTTGTTTGATGCATTTACAGTAATAGGGATATTCTTTTCTTTTGTATAATGGTGGACCAACTATAACTTTGTCATATGTTCTCACACTTATATCCTGTGTTTGTTGGGATTATAACCACGAACCATTTTTCTTCCGAAAGGTGAAAAAGAAAGAATTGCGCTTTTATGTTTTACTGTAATATATGTATATACAGAATCATTCAAGTGCAGGCGTCCGCACCAAATCAGGCCTATATGCATGGACACACACACACATACACAACTTGACTAAGACCTTACCCTGAAAAATTGGGTTGTTTACTCATATGCACAATCATGTGTGTGTGTGGGTGTACTGTATACTTCTATAATGTTTTCAACTCATTGCAGGAATTTAAGAGAGATGTTCAAGATCGATGCTGCTGATTACATGATGTCTATTTGTGGAAATGATGCTCTCAGAGAACTTTCTTCTCCTGGAAAAAGTGGTAGTGTGTTTTTCCTATCTCAAGATGATCGTTTCATGATTAAGACACTCAGGAAATCTGAAGTTCAGGTTTGTATCACTGCTGAAGCTTTTGCATCTTCATTTTTTGTTGATGTACATAAATTACTAAAGGCTTGTGAAGTTATCTTTTTTCTCCGTGTAGAAAATTTCTGTATGAATTCATAGTTTTGTACTAGAACCTGTAAACTTATTCCTTCGATTCTCACCTACCCAAGCAAAGAGCTTTATTTTCTTTAGCCCTTCCAAAGAGCCTTAGATACTCCTTTGTGCAGTTTCATGATTTTTGTTCTTCGAAGTTAGATGCAAACAAAAACTATAAAGAGAACTGGACATTTGATTGAGATTAAATTGTTATGGAATTACTGGACGTGTCATTACTTAATTGCCACTGTCTCAGAAGTTGCTTGGTACGCAATGTGCCAGCTGTTTTCTGACTTTTATTTTCAAGTAATTTGGTGCTTCTTTCCCCTGAACAAGGTTCTTGATAAATCTTATGTCTATTCTTGAGGACCAGTAGTATCAAATTAGTACAACTATGATCTGACATGTTTCATTTACGTGTCTTAGTGTGCTCATATTTTGTATACCAACGTTATGCTCTGTGTTTTATTTGTATTTATATCCTTTGCCAATAAGGTATTGTGACACGTACTGTAATTGAAGTTCTGCAGTTTTTTCCCCTCCTCTTTTCTTGAATCATCTGGAGGTGTGTTAACCAGAGTTCTGATGTGTAGGTTCTTTTGCGGATGCTTCCAAGTTATCATCATCATGTAAGGTCGTACGAGAACACCCTCATCACAAAATTCTTTGGTCTTCATAGGATTAAACCTTCAAGTGGTCAAAAGGTGATGGGAACGGTGCCTTTAGATTCTTATGAGCTGCCATGCTATAAGTGTGTTTAAATATATGCATTATGATGCCGTTACATTCCAGTAAAAGTATCAGTTGAGATGCTATACGCCTGTATCACCTTGTCTAAGAGGCAATTCTATAGTGAATTCTCTTGTTATTTGCAATGATACTATCCCTATTTATGTAAATTGCTTCTTGTATTTTAAAGACTGATATTTGCTCATTAAAATATGCTTTGCAGTTCCGCTTTGTAGTGATGGGAAACATGTTCTGCACAGAGCTAAGAATACATCGAAGATTTGATTTGAAAGGTTCATCCCTTGGTCGTTCTGCAGATAAGATCGAAATTGATGAAAATACAACACTTAAGGACTTGGATTTAAACTACTCTTTTTATCTGGAACCTTCTTGGCGAGAGGCTTTAATGAAGTAAGTGGGAGTTCTAGAATCCAGATGAGTTTTCACTCTCTCTTTTACTCGCAGTCCATACCTTAGGTGTGTAAATGACTTCTATAATCTAGGCGACCCCAGATTAACTTTAAGTTTATGAAAACACACAACCTAAGAATTTTTCATTAAAAAACATGTAATTTCTTTTATTCTTGGCCTGCGTAACATGTATTATCTCTAGCTTTAGGTTCTAATGTTTTTCCTTTTACTATTGCTACTGAACTCATTTTGCTCTCGTATTATTATGCAGTCAGATTGAGACTGACAGCAAATTTCTGGAGGCGCAGCACATTATGGATTACAGCCTTCTCATGGGAGTGCATTATCGGGCCCCCCAACATCTGCGGTCTGTCATGTCCTACAATAATACCAATCGAGCTGATGGTTTGGGAATCCTTGCAGAGGAAGGTCATTGTAGTTCATAACGATGCACAATTTAGTTGTCATGACTCATCCTCAGTTTTTCAACGATATACAGAGTTGTTTTTTCATTACCACGAAAGACTAACATAATAGTTTTTGCTTTTGGTGTTTTAATGACAGAGACTCTGGAGGATGAGATCTCTAATTACCCACAAGGACTTGTTTTAATCCCTCGTGGTACAGATGATGCTAGTGTTGTTGTGGGCCCTCATGTGAGAGGTAGCCGACTGAGAGCATCATCTGCCGGTTATGAGGAAGTTGATCTCCTTTTACCCGGTACTGCAAGGTATGGAACATTTATCTAGACCCCATGCAGAGAATCCGTTTTAAGTCGTCTTTTGAAAAGCTAAGGATCTGAAGTGAAATCACAACTAAGGGCGTTCTTAATACAAATGAAGTTTATAATTTTGCATATACACTTGCCAAATTGGAATAAATGATCTTATTTTGTTGTCACGATGTATTTAAGCAGATTCCAAATCCAGCTGGGTGTGAACATGCCAGCAAGGGCAGAGCAGGTTCCTGGCGAACAGGGAGACCAGCAGACATTTCATGAAGTATATGATGTTGTGCTCTATCTCGGAATCATTGACATATTGCAAGACTACAGCATGGGAAAGAAGATTGAACACGCATACAAATCTCTTCAGTTTGATTCCTTGTCCATCTCTGCTGTCGACCCTACATTCTATTCCCGGCGCTTCTTGGAGTTCATCCGGAAGGTGTTTCCTCCAAATGCCTTGACAAGGTAAAAACCTGGTGTTCCAAACCTCTTCTGAGATAAGGCCTCCAGTTTGCATGCCTTCAAGGACCGTTCGCACTAGCGGTCTATGAAATGTTCGGGGAGTGCATTCGGCGAGCGTCGTTGATTATGCCAGCATTGAGCAGCAGCTGGGTTGAGTGATCATAATGATTTGGTTGAAAAATTTGAATTTGTTTCTCTACTCCCTCTGCTTTTGCAACTTTCGGAGCGCCTGCCGCTTCATTACATGTACTTGTATCCATTTTCCGATTAAGGTATTGTGTTTAATCGATAAGAGACATCCAAACCGTCTTTTTTGCACGCGAGCGGCCGTAAATGATTGATTATAATTTGGAAAATAATTTCCGCACTCGCATGTTACCTTTCCTCTGTTTATTTCAGGTCATTAATTCTCCTTTAATAAATTTAACCGAAAAGTTAAACTAACGCGTAACACGGAAATTATTAACTTGTTAGTAAGCACATAAATCTACTTAGAGCATGACCTAATATCAAATGCATTGCTTGCAAGTAAATGCACACAAAAACCAAAAGTACACTCCAAAAGAAATTGCCACAAGGCATGTTTCCTTTCCCGAATTCCAGAAACTATAACATCTCCATTTCAATCCTATAACAATAATATTTGTCTTTAATAAGGGAAAAATGGGAATTCAGAAACAAACTAGGAACAAGTAGGACTATAAAGGAGTGGTCGTTAATAAGGTACAGCTTCCAGTTTAAAGGGAATACCGGGTCATTTTTTGCTGACTTCATTCTCCACACAGATACTGCAAATATGTTCGCTGAGATGCTCCGGTACAAGGACGGCCACCCCAAAGGCAATTGGTTTCCTTAACTCATATTAGGAGGTGGCGGGGGTGGACGAAGACCCTGGCCCTGCATTTGTTGTCCCGGAAAGCCTTGTGGAGGTGGCATTGATGGAGGCCTTCCCATCTGAGTGCCAGGAGTGAAATTCGCCATTGTGTTACCAACAGAGGGCGGAGGAGGGGCAGGCGGAGCACCACCAGGAGGCATAGGCCTAGGGCCATTTCCCATAGGAGCTGATGGTAGTAGAGATCCAGGAATTGGCGGAGGAGCTCTGGGAGGATTTCCCATTGGTGCACCAGGCGGCAGTCCTTGTGGCGGAGGAGGAGGAGGACCTTGGGGTGGTGGGGGCAAAGGCCTTGATGGAACACCAGGAGCACCTGGGCCATTGGCTGCAGGGGGAGGTTGCAGTTTGTTCGCCTCTGGTGGCTTAGTTTTGAAATATAGCTGCAACTGCATATTGGTACATCCAACACAGAAAAATGAGAAGAAAAATTCAACCAGCAAAAAGCATAAAAGAAAGTCAACTAAGTAAGACAGTGAAACCAGAGGGCTTTCATATAAACGCCCTTGAGAACATTACACTTTAAAAAGCACTTCGAATTCAATGCTTTAGGAGAAAATCCTGCTGAGTTTTCATTGGAGGGACACCAAAATAATTTCACAAATAAGAATCTGTATGAACACGACAAGTGGCCAGCTGAGGGGCTCTTTTCCCAGTTGAACTCTGGAAGTGTTTTCTCTAGGAAACTATAGTTTGCCAGGATTTTTTTTTCCTTTCTTAATTTTACAACTAATAAAACATCCGACCTGATCTAGTGAGCATGCAGCAGTTTATGCAGATGTCACCAATTGGTGCCAACTGTCGAGAGACTCAAAACCAAACATATGACTTACTTGCCAAATCAAATAAGCTTTCTTAAGTTAGATTCCATTAGGGTTGTTTGATAACCATTTCTTTTCAAATTTTTGTTGTTCAGTTTTGTGCTAGAAATAGAAAGCAAATACGTGGGGAAAATGAGGGACATATAGAAGTGGAGGAAAGATGGTGGGGAAGAGATGTATAAAAAATGTACAAGGAAAAAGTCGAAAGACACACAACGAAAACTAAAAACCAAAAAATAGTTTAAGTTGATTTCAGTTTGAAGAATTTGATTTTATTTATTCTTCTTTGTTTCTTCCCTTCCCTCCCCACTACCCTTCTTTGGTTTTTCCCTCCTTTCCCCCAATTACCCTCCCTATATCTCAAGCACAAAAGTGAAAACTAAAAGTAAAACACAATGGTTATCAAATGAGCACTAGGGTTTTAAGTGGCTATATCTTAAAACAACCACAGACAAGATTTACCAACCAAATGAACCGCAAAAATTGACATCCCAATGAAACACTTTATCTATTTCTAGAAGTGCAGATAAAAAGACATGAATCAGTAGGGTTAGAGAACTAACTGTGAACATTTTTGAGTCTGGATCCCAATGTGAGAAAAACTTATCAGTTTTGTCAATCTCAATGTTGGGAACCTGAAACAGAAACAAACATGGAGGCACAATAAATGTCCTGAATCTAACAATATAAAAAATGAATGAATACCCAATGCATAGACGGCAAGATATACCTTGAAAGCAACTATCTCGTAAGGCTCGGCTGCAAATAGAAGATACTGGTACCTTTTGTCGACAGGTTGAACCCTCTGTGTTCATGAAAAATCAACATTAAAAAAAATTCACTGAAACATTTCTAATAAGAAAAACGAGTAGAAGAAGAGGACGTCCATAAATTGCAGGCCACAAAGATATAACCCTACCTGCTCATAAGATGACATAAAACGGTGCCTTGGCTTTGTATTATCTTCAATCTCAGGATATTCAATCTGCATAACACATAGATGTCACGCAACATTAGCTACACCATTAATTTGCACACTATATACCCTTGAATGAGAGCTTATTATTTCAGGAAAATACATATAGCACAATGAGCGCACACACACACACACACACACCTGGAAGAGAAGAGACCTCTGCTTTGTTTCGCCATCAAACTGCTTTGTCACTCGATACCCCGGCCTACCAATTTTGACTGCAACCATACATTAAATGGTATACTTGCAACAGTTAACTCCATTAAAACAACTTTCCATGCACACCAAGTGTTCGACAAAATGCGTGTGAAAGAAATACGAGATACATACCCGTCTTTCGCACATTGACCTTGCGCTTGTGCGGCTGGGGCTGAGCAGGAGCGTCCTTTGCCTCGCGAGCAGCTCGTTTGGCCAAGTTGGTCTGATGGCGCTTGCCTTGTGTATGCGCCAAGTAGTTGCCCTCGTTGTTGTGCAGCGTCAAGCAAAGCTTACATTCATAGCTGTAAAAACCAACCAACGAAATGCAACAATTAGATGGAAAGCAGTGAAATTTGAGCAGAAATCAAAAGAGGGTCGTACCTTCCGAGGTGATTGCGCATGAAGTAGGGATCTTTGGCAAGATCGATGGTCTCGAGGGCAAGTCGCCGGAGACGCTCCCGGCGGTCGATGGCTTCGTTCTGTGCGGAGGCGGCGCCGCCGCTGCCGGGCTTTGAACCCCATTCTCTATCCATCTTCTCAGCTGTGAATCACCGACTGTTCCCTCAGCGGTTTAGAATTTTGGAGAAATTCCCCCACAATCGCAGACTCACAATGGTCCCCACTCGCTACCCTCTTTCTCTTTGTGTTTGTTGTGAAGGAAAATCTGGAAATTTAAAATATTATTGGGCTGCAAGTGTACAGTTGGGCTAAGGAGAAGTCAATCCAGGCCCATTTCACCCAATTTGCTCACGGGTAGTCACATCTTGTCATTACTTAGTATTATGGTCTGGTGTTATTCATCTTCACTTGTAAGTGAGAAGTCTTAAGTTCAATTCTCGCAAAAAGTAGATTTGAATTACATTATTATTAACTCATTGTGAGGCTAAGTCGACCCATTCCCTTTAGTGTAGATAATATCATTTGTTTAGAAAAAAAATATATATATATATATATTATTTTTAATTCCTTTCTTCTACAACATTTGTACTTAAGAGTAAAGACCTTCTGCCACTTAGTAATACGGTCTAATGGTATTATTAGCATGAGTCAACACAAACACAAGTTCATTAGGAAGTTGAATAGGAATGTAAATATGTTTCCTTTGTCTAGGATTCGTTTAATAGCTTGTGTTACAAGGGGTGGTTATATATGTATTTCCTCCTAAAGGGAGAAAAATAATACACAGAGAAATAGATTGAAGCCCTAAAGTTAGTTTTATCTTGACGTCACAGTGGGTTTCAGCCTGTCACTTCCTCTAAATCCTAAATTCACCCATTGTCGACTTTTATTGTTGGCTGCTGTCTGCAACAACCAAAATTCAATTTCAAAGGTTTCGAAGCAAGAAACCTTTCACGCAATCCCAACCTAGAAAAAACACCGATGAAAGAACTATGGTCTTGAAACAAGAGACTCATGGCAAAATAAATAAAAAAAAGAATGGATAACTAACGAAAAGTTAAAAAAAAAAAACTCTAGTTTTAATGAAAAATGACAAATAAATGTGTAGTAAATAATACCAAGAAAAGATAAAAATGTGGTTTTTCGTTAAAAGTGAACAGTACCGAAAGTGTTACGTTAAAACTTCCTAAAAAAAAAAAAAAAAACTTAGAACCAAACCCTAAACCTTGTCGTGCCAATGGCTGACCAAGTTGTCATTTCCATCGGTGATGCTCATGTGTCAACCAAATATGGGCTGGTTCCAATGAAGAGTAGTCCCTACCAACAATATGTCCAGCGAGTACATGTTGGGCTGGAGGACCATAAAGCCTAAATTCAAAAGGATCAGCAAGCAGAAAGCGCTGGCACCAGCATCGGCCAGACGTTGAAATCAACAGCAAAGGGAATGTGAGCCTGCCGAGCCTACCAGCAGCAAAAAGACCTAATGTAGGCAATGCGGGTGATTCAAGCCCACACCAGTTGGGCCAACAACTTTCACTATTAAATTTTAGGGGTTTTATCATATGATCCTTGAAATTGACCCTCACTGTCAAGATGGTCCCTAAAATTGAAAATCAATCAATGTAATCCTTGAAAATAGGTGCTGCAAATCAATGTGGTCATTCCGTTACAATTCTGTTAAAATTCCGTTAAATGCTGATATGGCATATAAATGGGTCTCATAAGTCTTCTTTTTTTTTTCCCTCACAAATGGTCCTTGAAATTGACATGTGACATCAAAATGGTCCTGAAATTGAAAATCGATCAATGTAGTCTCGCAAGTAAGTGTCCCAAATCAATGTAGTCATTCTGTCAAAATTCTATAAAAAATTATGTTATATGCTGATGTGACACATAAATGGATCACACAAGTCTAATTAAATTTTAAAAAAAATTACAAATAGGTTTAATAATTTAATAGTTAATAAAAGGTTGTGAACCAAAAAACTCAGTCTTGCAATCAACTCTGATCCCAATCAACATTCCTCTACCTCCTTTGATGTCTATTCTCTAAAAAAAAAAAACACGCAATACACCAATCTTTACACACTTCGACACTCTTCACCGAATTGAACCTGGATTCAGATCACCGTTGGTGACGACTTGGCTAATTGGCAATGACTTCTGAGACATCATCGTTAACATTTAAGCGATCAACATCCTCACAACCTAAATCTTGGAAAGCTTGTTCGATGCTTCCCTAGTGGTTTGGTGACTCAAAAAACGGCGAGGTCTGCCTTGAGATAATGAGGTTATAACCAAGGTGCGTTTATTGTTGGTTGAAAACTATTTTCCAAACCCCCTCTTAGGCTTTGGTTAAGCCTGTGCCTTTGAGAATTTATGGAAGGGATCTCTCTTCGGAGTAGATCTTACTATAAGAAAAAAATTCCATTGTGCAAAAAGGTATCTAGATAACTTTCTAATTAATTATTAAATCCACATTAGCACATAACAATTTTTTTTTTACAAAATTGTGGTGGAAGGATCATATAGATTTGTGACACCTATTTTCAAGGACTACATTCATCGATTTTCAATTTTAGGGACCATCTTGATGGTGTAGGTCAATTTCAGAGACCATTTGTGATAAAAACCAATAAATTTTGTGGGGTTCACTTATGTGTCACATTAGCACTTAACGAAATTTTTAACAAAATTATGACGGAATGACCACATTGATTTGCGAGACCTATATTCAGGGACTACATTGATTGATTTTTAATTTCAGAGGACAATCTTGATGGTGAGGGTCAATTTCATGGACCATTTGTGATAAAAGCCCTAAATTTTATTGCTTCCTAAGAATAATCCAACAGTCTAGGTAACACGGACGTAACCTTAATTGCTTCCGTTAATCATGATACAGGTTGGATTATTGATTCAGGGGCCACTAATCATATGACTTATGATCATACTCTTTTTAACTCTACAACACCATCACCATGGGATAATATTGTCACCACTAATGGAGTTATTGCCCCTGTTACAGGGGCAAGTTCAATAGCACTCATTCCTATTCTCTCTTTATAGAACTGCTTACTTGTTCCCACACTCTCTAGCCACTTGTTATCTGTAGGACAGGTCACCGAGCAATTAGACTGTGTGGTGCCAATGTTTACGTCTTTCTGTTTACTTCAAGATATTCGGACCCAAGAGATCATTGGGTGTGGTACTAAGAGAAGGGGGTTGTACTATGTTAATGATATTGTACAGAACCGAGTTCATCAATTTCAAGGCCATGATAGTGGAAAGCTGAAGATTGTTCAGTTGTGGCGTCATCTTCATGGTCATGCCTCTTATGGTTATTTACGAAAATCACTTTTGTCATTCTTCAGTAAAATTTCAGATTCTTCTCTATAATGTATTATTTGCACATTAGCTAAAAGCCATCGAGCTTCGCATTCTCCAAATCTTAATCAACGAACATTTCTTTTTGAATGAATTCATTTTGATGTATGGGGACAATCTCCTGTTATTACTTAGCATGGAGTGCGTTGGTTTGTAACATTCATTGATGACTGCATAAGGATGACTTGGTTGTACCATGATTAATAAAAATGATGTGGGTGAAAGCTTCAAAGTGTTTTATCACATGATTTACACTCAATATTCATTCTCTATTAAGTACTTAGGTTAATCAATGGTGACAAATATCTTAATCACGATCTTTCATAATTCTTCAAAGAAAATGGTATTCTCCATAAGACTACTTGCCCTCGGACCCCACAGCAAAATGGAGTAGCCGAGTGAAAAAATTGACACATACTTGACATTACCCTGTGCTATTCTCATTGGCGCTTGTGCACGTATGACATATTGGGCTGATGCGGTAACCTATGCCATTTATCTCATGAACCAAAATGTCATAGCGTGTTCTCTCTTTTAGGACTCCTTTGGTTGTGCTTGCTGACCTTGTTTTTGCTCATTTCCACCCTTCATCTAAAACCACAAGTTTTTGGGTGTGTGGCATAGGTCCATTTTCATAAAAATCAATGTAGCAAACTTGATCCATGCGTGTCAGTCCGATGTGTTTTTATTGGATTTAGTTTTCAACAAAAAGGTTATCGGTGTTACCATCCATTTATTTGCTGCATATATGTTACCATGGATGTTATCTTATCCGAAGATGAGTTATTTTTCCTTCCCAATTATACTTTTGAGGGGAGACAACCTCAAATGAAGATTATGGTTGGTTCGATATTATGCCTTATGTTTAGGTAAATACCCTAAACGGGCCTTTAAACCATTCCTACCCAGATTATGCAAATCATGCAAACCGTGACTACCTGATGGATGTGCTGAACATAAACACCCTGATAGGCATTCTGACTTGACAGAATGAATGGGCCGCTAAGACCGTGCAATGCTTACCCAAGTGGGCCGTAAGATGCATCCAAGAAGAATGATGTCTGCAGCCCAAATGATGATGTTGGGAATGATGTTGCTATTGCTATATGTAGCCCAAATGATGGCGTTACTGTTGTCGGCCCGCATCCAGCTGCTAACCTAAGTAGGTCAAATGGAAACTGTAATGTTGGCCCGACTGGGCCTTCAAGGGTGATAACCACCCCAAATTTAAGCAATAATTTGAGTAATAACTCGAGTTATAATTCCAGTGAACTAGAAGATAGTAACAATACCCTCATACTTCTCAAGTACTCGTATATGATCCTATGGATATCCTCGAGGTAAGTACGCACTAAGAAATTATTGAACCACTTTATGTGTTACTTTCTAAACAAAATCGAGGAAAACCACCAGATACGTACTCTTCATAAGGGAAGGTACAGTACTTTATTGCAAGTTATGTCTCTACTTATTAACTCTCACCGAGATACTGTGCACTTGTTTAGCAGATGGAAACCATCAAAATACCTACCAAAGTGGAAGAAGCCTTGAAAGATCGGAAATGGAAAGAGGAAATGCAAATTGAGATGGATGCATTATAGAAGAATAATACATGGAGCATAGTTACACTACCCGAGGGGAAGAAACCAGTGGGATGCAAATGGGTGTTCACTATCAAACATAAAGAAAATGGAACAATTGATAGTTACAAGTCAACGTTAGTGGCAAAGGGATTTACACAAACCTTTGGAGTTGATTATCAGGAGATATTTGCTCCCATTGCGAAAATGAATACTATTAGAGTTATATTATCTCTTGCTGCTAATTTTCACTGGCCTCTAAGACAAATTGAT